CATTGGACACCTGTGGTGTAGACACACATGCAGGCACAGATAACAATGAGCGAACGTACTCAGTAGTTAGAGCTGCTCTGATAGCACTGACTTATGGGTGTAAAGATAGAAGTCTGGGCAGTGTTTTGTTGTCTCCATTTAACATGATGGGCAGTTATCTCTTACCCCTGACCTTCAGGATGTGGTGATGACTTAGGAAGAGTGGGGCGTCAAGGCAGCGAGTGCCAGAGGGGTAGACGTCTGCACCTGCACACATGAGCTTCCATGACCACCACAGGATCAGCCAGCCAAGGCACTGGCATGAACGGGGAGGGGTTCAAGTTTCTCCCCTGCCTGAGGAGCTATTGGGCATTGATGAGTGCTGGGGAGAGCCAGTGTTTTGAAGTGTGGCCCCTGTGAGGCTGCACGTGCTTCAGTAGGATGTCTGCACTCATGCACATACTAATAGTTGTTTGTGGGCTTAGAGGACTTCTTTGTTTTCTTTAGATTTATTTATTTTTATTGAGTGTTTTGCTTATATGTATGTATGTATGTACACATGTACATGCCTGATGCCTGTGGTGACCATAAGTGGGTGTTGAATCTCCTAGAACTGAAGGTATGGATGATTGTGAGCCACCGCATGAGGGCTGAGAATCAAACTTGGATTCTCTGGAAGAGCAGCTGGTGCCCTTACTGCTGAGCTGACTCTAGCCCTGACTCAGTGGACGTATAAAAAGAGCACATAAGATTGTGGAGGGAGAGATGAGAGAGACATTGGAAAGACGAGGAAAGGGGGTGGGTTTGACCAAGACTCATTATGTAGGTATGAAACTCTTGACAATAAGAGATTTTTTTTATATTAAACTTAAACTCTTTTATTGTTGTAACTTATACGGATGTATGTAAGCGCTTTGCCTGCTCACGTCTGTGCCACTTGTATGCCTGTTACCCTCAAGGGACCAGAAGAAGGCAGCATTAGATTCATGGCATCTCAGAGTGAGAGAAGGTTGTTAGCTGCCGTGTGGGTGCTGGAGAGCACACCTAGACCGAAGAGCAACGGTGCTCTTAGCCCTGTTCTACCTCCCCGTCCGGCTCCTTCTTTATTTTATCTCACAGGTTTTAGTGGGGAGGGGGTGCAGAGTCTCACTGTGTATTCCTGACTGGTCTTAACTCCAGAGTTAGTCTATCCTGTCTTCCAAGGTGTGGGCCAACATACAGTATTTATATATAATTCATATCTTAATGTTCACTTTATGTGTTTTTAAGAACACATTGTTCCAAGGGCAATCCACAGATTCATCTGCCTTATGAATTCACTTATGGTTCATTTCTTCTTCATCAGAACCCAGCTGTTAGTTGTCGAAAATGAAATTATGAAGGTATCATTTTCCAAGCTGTAAGCTTGACACCGCCCAGAGTCGTCATAGGGAGATAGGGAATTGCACAGATGAGATGGCCTGTGACCATGTCTGTGAGGGATTGTTTTGATTCTTGACTTTTGGGGGAGGGCCCATTCATTCCCTTGTGGGTAGTACTTTATTTGAGCATGTGGTCTTGGGCTATATAAGAGAGTAAGTTGAGCGTGATCCTAGGTGCCAGCTAGTAAGCAACATTCCTGCACTCTTTGTGCTTCGGTTCCCGTTCCTGCCCTGACTTCCTCAGACTAGGACCTGGGTATGGAAGCTGAAACAAACCCTTTCTTCCCGAGTTTCTTTTGGTCATAGTGCTTTATCACAGGAGCAGAGAAAAAACTGGAACAACTGGAAGGTGCTTTGGGAAACCATACAGAAGACTTGAGATTTCGATGGTTCTGCTTTTAGGGTAGACACGGTGCAAAATTGATTAGCCCGGCGTCTCTCTGAGCTTTAGCAAAGGAAGTATGTAAAGCTTGGTGGGGGCAGCCACCAACTAGGGGGAGCCTGCTGAAGATAAACATGGGGGGGGGGTAGCAGGGAAGGTGAGGAAGAGCTGGTGTGTGGGAGAGCATGGGAGGCAGCGTTTTGGGTACTCTTGGGATGTTCTGCCTGTCTGTGGAGGCTTATCCTTTAAATTTCTTTACATTTCAAAAAGTTTAAGCTTATATTTGAAAATCAATCTACCTGAATTAACATTAAGAAAAATCTGACAATTCATATGAACCTTTTAAAACCTTTTTATTTTATTTTGTGAGGTTATAATTATATCATTTCCTTCTTCTGTATGAAGCACTTGAGTCAAAAGCCACAATCCTAGTGGTGAGAAGAGTACTGCATTTTATCAGAAATTATTAGTGTCCACTGATAACCCCATCCCATTGCAGGTTTCTTTTCTCTGAGAAGAGGTTTAATAGGTGTGATAACTTCTGATGCATTTCTTGTTTCTTTCCAGCCCTCATGACGTATTGGCTACGCTTTTAAACAACCTCAAAGTTCAGGAAAGGCAGAACAGAGTCTGTACCACTGTAGCCATTGCCATTGTCGCTGAGACGTGCTCCCCCTTCACAGTGCTCCCCGCCCTGATGAACGAGTACAGAGTTCCTGAACTGAACGTTCAGAACGGCGTGCTGAAGTCCCTGTCCTTCCTGTTTGAGTACATCGGGGAGATGGGGAAAGACTACATCTACGCCGTTACGCCTCTACTTGAGGATGCGTTAATGGACAGGTAAGTGACTGCAACCAATGCAGGATCCAGTGTTTTGTTTTTAGAGTTTATTAAAGTACCTTTTAAATGCCTATTTGTTGAAGAAACATTACTATGGATTATTTCATATAATTTCTTACTTTAATATTTGTTGTAATGGGTTAGTCTTTGATATCTTAAGCTAGATTTTGATTCACTCTTGTTTTTAAAACAGTTAGGGGGTAGAAGATGAACAGGAGTTGATCTACATGACAGAGAAACCTGTAGTTTTATTCTCAGACAGTGTCTCAGATCATTCAGGGCAGCTGAGTGGTCCTCCAGTGCGCTGGGATTGTGGACGTGGACCTCTGTGTATGACCGCGGGGCTTCACACATGCTCAGCCAAGCATCTGCCAAGTGAGCCCCATCCTCAGCGGTTCATCTTATTGCCAGAGCCAGCTTCCCTTTGCAGCCTCCGATGATCTGTGACTTAGTTTTCACTTCATATATTGATTGCAAGTAAAGTTGTTTGTTCATAACAAAAACACTTGAATATTGCATTACAAATAATATTTGAATTTTATATTCTCAGTTATATCAAATTCATTTGGAAATAAATTTCAGACTTCTAGCAGATGTACTTCTTGTAATTTTTATGTAACGTCAGGATAATTTGCTGTTCCTGTTATATTCTTTTCTGTGATCTCAACTCTTTTAGAATTTTTTTCTTTTCTTTATTTTTTTCCCTCCAAGACAGTAGCCCTGATTGTCCTGGAACTCACTTTGTAGACCAGGTTGGCCTCCAACTTGGCAATCCACCTGCCTCTGCCTCCTAAGTGCTAGGTTTAAAGGTGTGCCACCACTGCCTGGCTAAATTTTTCATTTTTTTTTTTTTTTAATTTTAGAGATCATCATATTTGTTGTGTCATTATTTTAGAAATGTGCTTTGGGGATTGATATGTTCAAGATACACTGTACATAATTCTCAGGGAATTAATAGAAATTAAAAAGATTTATCTTTGCAGGTTGAGGTAGTAACTCAATTGAGGATTACTAATAATACTTGGTTGAAAACTTAGAACTTCATTGCTTCATTGTGGTGAATAAGTTAGATAGCAAATAAATTGAAGGTGTTATATAGTTCATGTTTTTTTATGCTTTTGAAAGGTTGTTAATAGCTTGGCAGACTGGTGAGCACTTTTTTGAATGAAAAATTAGTAAATTTAATTTTGATTTATATCCTGATATCAACTTAGTGTCATATTTGTTACAGAGTTTAAAATGAGATATTGACTGTTACTCATGAGAGTCATATGTTTAGTAGTAATTCAGTCCCTAATAATGCAAATGAATATTTCTTACAAATTAACTTAAAGAGACCGTTTCTCTCCATTCCAGGGACCTGGTGCACAGACAGACAGCTAGCGCAGTGGTACAACACATGTCACTTGGTGTCTATGGCTTTGGCTGTGAAGACTCTCTGAATCACTTATTGAACTATGTATGGCCTAATGTGTTTGAGACATCGCCCCACGTAATCCAGGCCGTCATGGGAGCCCTGGAGGGCCTGAGGGTTGCTATTGGACCTTGCAGAATGTTGCAGTATTGCTTACAGGTGGGCTAAATGTGGTTTTTGTTTTTGTTCGTTCTTTTTATACAAGATCACTCAAAAAGGTGATTTATTTTATTGTGTTGAAGTCAGTCACTACCCAGTTGAAGGAGATCCCTGCATAGACCTGGATCAGGTACAAACTATGCACAAACACCTATTTTCACAGAGACCCTTTATTAAGTAGCTAAAGTGGCTGCTTTGTGACTCAGGCAGAAAAAAGCAGCAAATGATTCTGCAGGGGGTTTTGGATATTTGGTTTTTAGAGACAAGACTTCTCTGTGTAGCCTTGGCTGTCCTGGAACTCACTCTGAAGAGCAGGCTGACCTCGAACTCAGAGATCCACTTGCCTCTGCCTCCCAAGTGCTGGGATTAAAACTATGTGCCATTGCCCAGCACCAGGTGTAATTTTTAAAAAATAACTTGTATTCTATGTTCACTGCTGTTTTGCCTGCACGTATGTCTGTGTAAGGGTGTCAGAAGCCCTGGTACCAGAGTTACAGACAGCTGTGAATTGCCATGTGGCTGCTGGGAATTGAACTCTGGAAAAGTAGCCAGTGCTCTTAACCACTGAACCATGAACCACCTTTCCAGCCCAGCATGTGTAACTTGTTTTTCGTTTTTTGAGATAGGGTTTTTCTGTAACTTTGGAGCCTGTCCAAAACTCACACTTGTGAGCTCTAAGATTGTGGCTTTTGACTCAAGTGCTTCATATAGGAAGAAGGAAATGATATAACCTCAAAAAATAAAATGAAAAGATCCACCTGCCTCTGTCTCCCAGTGCTGGGATTAAAGGCGTGCACCATCATTACCTGGCAAGAAGAGAAAAAGGGAGGTCTGTGGTAGAATGGGCTAGGTCAGGTGGTGCATTTTGATTGGGTATGTTAATTAGTTGAGCTAAAGAGGGGGCTTTTGTTTAATGGACTTGGGCAAGACCTACCAGAGCCGTAGGCTAGTGTCCTTCACTGATTAGCATGTGGGAGAAAGTTCTGTGTTGAGATAGAAATTAGATTTTGTGTTTACCTATCACAGTTTTGTGCAGTTTCCAGAGTTTTTTCCTTCACTTCAAAGGAACTACTTAGTTTTTTGAGACAGGGCCTCACTGTGTAGACCTGGTTGACTTGGAACTCACTATGTGGATCAGGTCAGCTTTGAGCTGCTAGAGAGACCACCCCTGCCTCCTGAGTGCCAGGCTTAAAGGTGTGTCCCACCATGCCAGCTAAAAGGAAATATTTTTTTTTGTAATTTTTTAAAATTGTTTTTATTGAGCTATATATTTTTCTCCATTCCACTCCCTTCTTCGTCTCTCTCCTTCTACCTTCTCCCATGGTCTCCATGCTCCCAATTTACTCAGGAGATCTTGTCTTTTTCTACTTCCCATGTACATTAGATCCATGCATGTCTCTCTTAGGGTCCTCTTTGTTGTCTAGGTTCTCTAGGAATGTGAGAGGCTGGTTTTCTTTGGTTTATGTCTAAAAATGACATGTTCTTATGAATGAGCACATGTATGTTTGTCTTTCTGGGTCTGGATTACCTCTCTCAATGTGATGTTTTCTAGATCCATCCATTTGCCTGCAGATTTCAGGCTGTTGTTTTTCCCCCACTGTGTAGTACTCCACTGTGTAAATGTACCACATTTTCCTTATCCATTCTTTGGTCAAGGGACATTTAGGCTGTTTCCAGGTTCTGGCTATGACAAACAAAGCTGCTATGAACATAGTTGAGCACATGTTCTTATGGTACAATTGAGCATCCTTTGGGTATATACCCAAAAGTGGTATTACTGAGTCTTAATTTTCTGAGAAATCGCCACACTGCCATCCAAAGGGGCTGTACCAGCTTGCATTCCCACCAGCAATGCAGAAGTGTCCCTTTTCCCCACAACCTCTCCAGCATAAGTTGTCCTCAGTGTTTTTGATCTTGGCCATTCTTACAGGTGTAAGATGGAATCTCAGGTTGTTTTGATTTGTATTTCTCTGATGGTTAAGGATGTTGAGCATTTCCTGAAGTATCCTTCAGCCATTTTAGATTCCTCTGTTGAGAATTCTCTGTAAAACGAAATATTCCTAACCCTGTCTTCATAGTCCGCAGTTGCGTTAGATATATGTGGTCTTGAAAATAAATAGAAATAACTGTATGTTTTGCTTATTCTAGGGTCTGTTTCACCCAGCTCGGAAAGTCAGAGATGTGTACTGGAAAATCTACAACTCCATCTACATCGGCTCCCAGGACGCTCTCATAGCACATTACCCGAGGATCTACAACGACGATAAGAACACCTACATTCGCTACGAGCTTGACTATATCTTGTAATTTTATCTTGTGTCTAGTACACAGCTGTTTCACACCTTAAACTTGCTTCTATCTGATATAAACTTGTAAAACATTGCAGATCAGTGTAGAGCTGGTCATAGAGGAAGGGTAGAAATCCAGTAGCATGATTTTGAAATAACTTTTGTTTTTGATGTTAAACAGTAAACGCCAGTAGTGACCAAGGACGCAGTGATTACACACACTATACTGGAGGGATTGTCATTTTTTATTCATCTTTATGAAGATTTAGAATTCATTCCTTGTGTTTAAAGGGAATGTTTAATTGAGAAATAAACATTCGTGTACAAAATGCTAATTTGTGTGTGTTTTTTGAATATACTTGTAAAATGAAGAACTTTGGTAAAGTTGGTTTGTGTAAAATAAGTGGTTTAACTTCATTTTCTGTCACCTGGTTTATTATGGAAGTAGTTAGCGGGACAGACTCACTGTACAGTGATGACCTCTTTGTCAAAGTCCATTGTTTGTTGATGAGAAGAGTCCCTTTGGGGTGCTCCCCCCAGTGCGGCCTGAGCATCCACCACCATAGAAGAGCAGCGCTTTGGCCGAGCTGTCTTGAATATTTTGTACTAACATAGCACCTTTCACCTCGTGATGTCTCCCTGCTTTACGATGGGCAGAGAGTATATATTTTAGGTCGTGTCCAGCTCCTGGTGGGCCCGTGTGCAGACCGTGGGAAAGCTGTCTATCCTTCAGAACTCTTCTTCCTGTTGGGAACAACGCTGTCTGAGGAATGCTCGTGTAGTAGCAGTCTTTGGACTTTTATCTGTTCAGTAAGCAGCTGTCCAGTACCTGCTGCATGCCAGCCACTGTCCTTAGGTGCAGGGACTGCACAGGTGCACCTGACCTGGCTTTTGCCTTTGGAACCAGTGTAATGGAAGGGGCCATATGCAGAATCCTTTATCGCAGGATGCTGTATAGTGGGAGAAGTAAAAAGTTAAAAAAAAAATGCCTGGATTTGATTGGTTTGTAGCAGTCAGATATAATACAGTGGTTTAAGTGTGCAGCATGAGCCAAACTGCCCCTCAGTTCTAGAAGAACCAAGCTTTAAGGCTCTCTTAATGTTTGGGGGCAACAAATGAATCAGTTTTATACCCCAAATTTCTTGTTTTTTTTTTAACCTTTTCTCCCCATCACTGTTTTGTCTTCCCCTGTTTGTATTTCTGTTGACTCTAGAGGGAAATGATTCTGCCATCAGTGGGACTAGCCTGTGACTTCGCTCTTCAGAACTTCTAGGATTTGACTAACGAAGAAGTCTCCCCACTGGACACCGAGGAACAGCTTCTGCTCTGCTTTTATACAATCCATACCGAGCAGTAAATGTTCCTAGGCAGGACATGTAGCTTCTTGTTTTTCCTTGTGTGTAGTAAGGTCAAACAAATTCCTAGACGATTTTTCTGTTCTTAGAAATTTTCTAGCCATGCCCTACGCACTTTTAAATATTGCTGTTTTGTATAGTTGATTTCAAATAACCCTTGGGAATTAGTAATCTTGGGAATTGGATATAGTTCTCAAAGTTAAAATTTGATTTTAAGTCATTCTTAGGAAAGTTTAATTATCGGTTAAAATACTTAATATAGCTTAAGTTTGTGTCGCTCCTTGGTATTTATGGGAAATAAGCTCTGCAGTAGACGTGCAGCTGACAGAAGACTGTCTGCTCCAGTGACATTTTGCGGATGGAGTTAATTGCAGGACGGATAAGGGAAAGAAATGCTAACGGCTGTAACCTCAAGATTTTTGACCAAATAGATACTCAAAGGGGTTTGGATTGTTTCATGCTCTTAATAAGGAAAGCATTTTGTGATACACCCTTGTGAAAGATGTTACGTGACGTTTGAACTTCTCAGAGACCGTTCGCACTTTGTGAAAGATGTTACGTGATGTTTGAACTTCTCAAAGACCGCACTTTGTTTCGATGTTTCTTAAGGCAAAGCTTCGGCGGGAAGAATTAATGTTCTTCAGGGGCAGACGGTGGTCTTTTCTCTGGCCCTTTCCCGTCCTCAAATCCCCCCACCCCCGCCCCATGGGCCATTGCCCTCTGATGGAATTCATTTCTTTGGCTGTTTGATTTTTTTTTATATTGTATTTTTAAAATTTGCTCTATGATGCCCTGTGAGCATCATGTACCACCAGATAAATAAAATTTATTATATTTAAAGTCTTAGTATACCAGTTCTTAATCTTAGTTGACTCTGTATGGTATGGTACTGTGCCCGCTCTGTTGTTGTTTGCCATGCTAATTATGTAGAGTTCTCTGGGTTGCTGGCCATAGTAAGTGAAGCTAAATATTAGGAAATGTGTTTTCTTCAGGAACTAAGAAGCTGAGGTGGGCGTGGTGGTCCAGGTCTAGAATCCTAGCACTTGAGGCAGAAGCTTATATATAAGAAGCTGTCTTATATATACTCCCGACTTTTACCTGTCGGGAGTATATATAAGACACTGCCAAAAAGCCAACACAACAAAACCAAAATAAGTTGGAAAAAGATAATTCCAGTTGTACCATGTAAGTAGTCTGGCTCAGGTTTCCAGCCAAAGATCCAAGAAGATGTAATACAGCAGTCCCAGAATCACTCTGCAGTCACATTTCAGGTCAGATGAAGCCTCTGTCGGGGGGGGGGGGGATGCTCTATAAATACACCCCCAACTTCTGGCTTAGGTGCCAGGGATACCCATTTCCTATGCGACCACACAAAAGCCTCCAGATACCAACTTTATCTTTTGGGGGAGTAAAAATCTTCCAAGGTTGAGAGACACTCTTCTACCTTCATTCAGACTTGGGGGTGTTTGAAAGGGTGGCTGGGAACTTGTAGCTCAGTCTGACTTTCAATTCCTCTACCCTCCAAGGGCTGGGACCACACTGCAGGGTCATGCCACCATGCCTGTCTGGCCTCAGACGTTAAGTAGAACTCATGTCTGATAAGTGTGGGATACGTGGAAAGCATTCTGCCTGGAAAGCAGAGGGGATATTTAGCAAATACTTAAGACACCTGCTTTGGGTCAATGGCCATATAAGTCCTGTGCAAAGTAAGTGCCGAAGATGTGTCCAGGGGTCTGTCCTCAGAGCGTCTGTATGGTAGGTACACTTGGTCGGGTGCGAGATCCAGGGCCAGCAGCACCCAAGCCTTGTTGCACCCTTGTTGCGCTCTCAGACCTGAGGGGTAACATAGGTGAGTTTGGCAGACCTCCCAGCCAACTTAGAGCTCTTGAGGTCCTTTAAGGCTGCGTTTAGCCTGCTGTCTTGCTGTGTGCTCGGCTTCTTTAAGCTGCCTTTAAGAGGACAAGTGTCATTGATCTTACAATGCTGTGGGTATCTCGTGAATCAGCAATGACTCCTGACTGGCAAATGCCATGTCCGCTACCTTGGCTTTGACCATCTTTATAGCCCACTCTAACAGAGTGATCACTGACCCTTCGGGGAAGGGGGTGGGTGGCGGTTTGAGTTAAAAATGTCGGCTATAGTTTTGGGCATTTGACTATTTGGTCCCCAGTTGGTGGTGATCTGGGGATGTTTTAGGAGGGGTGGCCTTGTTGGAAGTGTGTCCCTGGAGGTGGGCTTTGGGATGTGAAAGATCCGTGCCATTTCTAGTCTAGTTGTTGCTTGCTTGTGAATCAAGATGGGAGCTTCCTGCTGCCATGATTCTTGAAGTTTGTTGCCACGCCTCCCTGCCTTGACTGACTCTTGTCCTTTTGGATCCATAAGCCCACTAAACCCTTTCTTCTTGCCTTGGCCATGGTGTTTGTCATAGTGACAGAGAACTGGCTAATGTGACAGGGGTCCCATTTGGATCTGAGTACCCCACTGTCTCCTCTCTCCTTGGCCAGCCACGCCTCTCTGTTAGTTGTTACCCACTACAAAAGGAAGCTTCCCCGATGAAGGTGGAGGGACACATTAATTTATGGATATAAAGATAACTTAGAGCAGTGGTTATTATTATTATTATTATTCCTAATGCTCCTACCTTTTAATACAGTCCCTCTTGTGCTGACCCCCAACCATGGCATTATTTTCATTGCTGCTTCATAACGGATTTTGCTACTGTTAGAAATTGTAGTGTAAATATCTGATATACATGAAATATGATATACAACCTCCGTGAGGGGGTCGTTTGACCCCCCCCCAAAGGGGTTGCAACCCACAGGTTGAGAAACACGGACTTAGCAGGCCAGTTTATTACTGTTTACTTAGCAGAATAATAACGGTAGATTCTCCTAGAACCTAAGCCCTAGCTAGGTATAGGCTTTTGATCCAGATGAATGGGCTAGTTCCATCTTGTGAATCAGGCTCTAAATCTAACTAGACAATGGTTGGTTGCTCCCATAACATTCATGCCACTGTTGCACCAACATAACAGACTTCCAAGGCAGTCTTCAATGCACAGTGTGCACAGTTGGGTAAGGCTGTTGGTGACTTTACTCCACTGCTAGTGAGCACAGACCAGTTCTGGGTAGGAAGAGAAAAGCCCAGTCCTGATTCCATTGGGAAGAAAATATGGTGGGATGTGAGCACATAGTTTGTCCATGCCCTATTATTATATTATTGTTCTGCTGCAACTCTAGCTCCAAGTGAGCCAGTGCCCCTTCTGGACTCTCAGAGGACATACAAACACTCATGGGCACACATCCACACATAGGCATACATAAAATAAATCTAAAAATATCAAATATGACATCATCATGGGGAGCTGGGGAGTGTAGCTTGGTTGGCAAAAGGCTTGCTTGGCATGCACAAGCCCTGGGTTCAGTCCTCATCACTATGTAAGCCTGTGGTAGCAGATGTTAGTAATCTTAGCATTCAGGACACGGAGATGGGGCCAGGAGTTCAAAGCCACACTTGGCTACTTAGGTGGTTAAAAAAAAACTTACATTATTTTATGCTTATGTTTTCTATGCACATATATATACATACATATATACATATATATACATACATATATACACACACATATATGTATGTGTGTGTGTGCCCCATAAGTGTGCCTGGTGTCTGTGGTCAGAAGGGTCTGGAACTGAAGTTGCAGGTGGAACTTAACCACAGGTAAGCCACCATGTTGGTGCTGGGACTCAAACCCAGGTCCTCCGCAAGAGCAGCCAGTGCTCTTAGCCATGGAATCATCTGTCCAGCCCCGACAGAAGTAGGTTTAAAGCTACGCTCTGATACATGAAATCCTTTCTTAAAGAAACGAGGCCAAGAAGGTCATCATTGTTACAACATTTCGTTGAAAGGAAGAATTGAAAGCCTGCATTTAGTAAGTAACAGGACGGCTTCCATCTGCTGATGCTGTCTGCTTGGCAAACAGA